CTCTGACCTGTCTGCGATGGAGCAGTAAAGAAAGAGGAGGAGGAGCCTATTTTCTGGGAATACCTTACTCCCTATTGCATTTTTGATTGGTTAAACGTTTTACTTTCTTTACTGCTGTGGAGTTTAGTAAAGAGAGATATGCAAAATAGGAAGCCTCCTGTCATGTGATAAAATTGAAAGAACAGAATATATCAGATATTACGGATATTTAAAGTTTCCTATCATTTTTATTTTTTTTCACATTTCCTTTTGGTTGTTCTTTCCTTATTATAATTAATGTACTCCCTCCCCTACCACTTGCCTTTTATTTATATTTAAATTATCATCTTTTCTTCCTTGTGCCAGGCCTGCAATTCTGGGTCAGGCATTTTTTCCTCTCTCCATGATGTCTTCTATTAGCTCTCCTGCGAGACTGATTTTACCAATGGATTGTGGGGAAAATTTGACTGGCAAACTCTGCCTATTGTCAACTTGACTGCTACACATGAGGAATGTAGTCCCTACTTTACTTTTGGCATTTTATGAAAACTGAAGCGCTATGGGAAAAAAAAAAAAAATACAAAAAGATTCAGACACAGGGAGCTATGCAAATCTTAAACTTTTAAATAACTAAAGTTTAATTTTGTTGACATCTACATTAGGATATGTTGTTCAGTGATCACATTGTTAATGGTTTACTTTCATTAAACTATTTACAGAAATCTCAATATTCTGTTAAACTTATGGCTATAAAGATATACACCTTGAAAAGTAGCATTATTGATGGTGAATCTCGTTGTAACTCTCTGTATGTTTGATACATCATCCTGATCAATATAGTGATTTGCATACTGTTGTGTTATATTTAGCAGCTGCTGATCTGTAAAACATTTTTTGTGTGTATTTTTTAACAATGAACCATGGAATGTAAGAATAATCAATGCACAGATACAGAGGCAATGACACACAGGATCTAAAATTAACTCCGAAACAGATATTTATGGAAATTCTTTTTATTTTGCTCTATAAACCCAGCTTTGAGAAGGAACATTTTATCTGCCGGTGTTTCTATAAATAAAATGTCTTTGTATGAATATGTGCTGCTTCAAAATTGTCAAACTGAAATATATTTTATACAAAAGGTCTGGCTAACAGACACGTAATATGAGGCATGCAACAGAGGTCAGATTACCAGTAACCAAAGGGCATGACACGAGTCATCTTTCACCTTTATTTCTTATTTCTTCTTTAACCTCTTCAGGACCAAACTTCTGGAATAAAAGGGAATCATGACATGTCACACATGTCATGTGTCCTTAAGGGGTTAAAGATAATACCAATTTCTCTGGAATTATAGGCACTAATTACCACTTGGTCATAGTTATTCTTATTCTTGATAATAACCAATGTGTCACCAGGGGGTAGAGGAAACTCTGGCAGTAATTATTTATTTCTTTGATTCATAGGAACAATTTGATTTCCCACAGTCAGACCCTGGCCATGGCCATTGCCATTGCAGCCAAATGTGCATTTGCCCATTTTGCCAAAATGATCACCTTATTTTGGACTCCTATGCTTAAAGGAACACTATAGGGTCAGGAACACAAACCTGTATTCCTGACCCTATAGTGTTAAAAAAATAAATTTAGCTCCTGTCCCGTTCACCTGTGCTCCCTAAATATAGTAAAATCATACTTTTATTCCAGTCTGCTGCTGCTGTCTCTGCCCCGATCTGCCTGCTTGGCTGACATCACCAGTAGTGTTGATCAAAGCCAATCACAATGCTTTCCCATAAGAAATTGGCTGAGATTGCCCAAGGTGCCAGATACGGGGCAGAGCCAGCACAAGCCAAACACAGCCCTGGATAATCAGCATCTGCTTCTAGAGATACATTTAATCAATACATCTCTATGAGGAAAGTGTAGTGTCTCCATTCAGAGGGTGGAGACACTGAATGGCAGTGATGCACATTGTGCTGCACTGTCCCAGGAATAACCTCTAGTAGCTATCTGAAGCATGGCCACTGGAGGTATCCCAAGGTTGTAATGTAAACACTGTCATTTCTATGAAAATACAGTGTTTACTGTAAAAAGCCTGAAGGGAATGATTATACTCATCAGAACAAATACAGCTTTTTGTATTTGTTCTGGTTAGTATAGTGTCTCTTTAGACGTTTATTTAGTTAATTTTTAGCGTAAAAGCTTTTTGTTCTAGCTTGGCCTGTTAAAATATATATATACAGGTAGACAATGACAGACACACTCAGAAAAACACACACCAGCACTTATGTATACATGTCTGCAAGGCTATGTAACTATACCACACAATCATGCATAGATGATTAGCATAATTGCTAATTAAATATGTTTATTGCAAATTAATTTAGTTTGCAAATTATGACAATATATTGTTTGTTTGTTTTTATTTTAAAAAAATGAAATGGTTTAACACTAGTCCTTCATGTAATTGTAATAAATGGCAATTCAAGGCTTTGTAGTGCCAATGTCAAGTATGTCCAAGGAATGATGGTAGAGGCTTCTCTGTAGAATTACAATGATGGCCACATCGTTTTGTGTTATGCCACCGCTATAGCTGCAGTTATAAACTAATGAGTTTAAACTCAAATTATTTAAGTGTTTAATTTTATTATCCATTGAGAATATTTGGGAAGTGAGAGTTATTGCAGGAAGTGTGAATTTAACTTGATTCCAAGAAATCTTTGATTATAATTACAATATGATTCTCACTCTCATAATGCAGGCTTGTGCAATGTTAAATTGGCCTCCGCAGCATAAACAGCTGACGCAAGGAGAGAGACATTTATGACAAATCTGCAGAGGAGGGTGTGTGGGGGCTAGTTTAAAATGGCCAATCTTTGCATGCATTGCCAAGGCTTCCTGGAACATTGAATGTGTTAGCATCTGATATATGCAGAAACCAGGGATGGACTCAATACATTTCAAAAGCCAGTCAAGAACACATTTGACAGAACACTCAAGGCTGGAGCAGACTATAATTTTTAAATAATCTGACTCAAAGACCCTTTCAAATGCTAACCATGTAATATTTTGTGAATTGTAGTTAATTGTAAATGGTTCTATTATTGTCATGATATGAAACATAATTGTCATTTCTGTGGAAGTGACAAAAAAAAAAGTTAATTCCCTCGGCTATATTTCTGAGTTCTAGGCAAGTCATGATACATTTTATTCAGTATTGCCTTTCGCTTGAGTACACTGTATGCATGGCATTGTTTGAGTTAATCTAATTCACATACCTATGCTCCTCATCATGTAAAGTTTTAAAAAATAAAACTAAAACAATGGATGCTTCCACACATCACCGGGATTGGCAGGATAGGCATCCTGAGAATGGACATTCTTCCACTCTTCCTGTATTTACTCCAGCTGCCCCCTGTCCACGTTCCGCAAACCTGTCTTGGTCAACTTTGCAAAATGGTTTGGTTATATGTATGGCACAGTCTTAAAGTTTACCTAAAATATGATCTCTTGGTCTGACCCAAACATGGAGGTTTAGGCTTACCTGACCTATCCAAATATCATAAATCGGTCCACTTCCAAAGGTTAATTGAATGCGCTACTTTCCCTCCTAGTAAACTATAGGTACAGCTAGAAGCAATTTTTTCTTCACAAATCTACTATCTGCACTTGATAATAGGGATTTGGGTGGATGTTTGGCACCTTATTCCATATCCGGTGGTAGTGCTCTCATATACAGCCATATTAGGAAGAGTGTGCATGCCTTCCTTACTACAGTTACAGACATTACTGTTCCCTTTTGCAGTCCTTCTACATCCCAAGCAGGACATACCATAAGACTGTACTCCCTCTCATCTTGTAAACTCTGCCCACAGTCTCATTCAAGGATTCTGGAGGCAGATTGCCACTCCCAAAGTCCTGGATTGGATTAAAAGAGAACAGGAGAATGCTCAAATGAATAGCTAATTCTGTCAGCCTCGGACAACTATAAGAAATATACTTCCATTTGGTTCCATTAGTTGCGGTGGCTGTTCTTTGGGGCTGCTGGTGCTGGATCAACTATTCTGCATTCTCTGTAGCCATCAGTGTATCCTACCACCCTGATTGCCCCTGCAGGCTCAACACACAGGCCCAATCATTGCAGTCGCCCTCCACTTACATTTTTTTTTATCTCCTCCTCCCCTCCACCACCCCACCTTTTTCTCTTTTCTTATACAGTTTCATTGCGGTTTCTAGGTGTTTTTCACTTATCAATAATACCATATACCAACAGATGTTTTCTTTTGTGACACGGGCTGAATTTGTACCACTGTTATATCCATATATCCATTTTCTTTTTTTATATAGGTGTCACAATATTATTGTCATTGCACTCCCTATGACCGCTCTATTCACTGTTCATATTCTTATCACTTCAACAATATATAAACTAAAAAAATAAAAAACGGAGGGTTTTTATTAAGAAATAACATAACCTATAGCTCTGTTTAGTCCGCTATTGCCAGTTTCACTTTTAGGATATATTTATGCAGGGGTTACGTCCTGGGGGAATAAATGTGGAAACTCACCCAAGATCCACCTCCCCCCCACCACCCCACCCGCAAAAAAAGAATTATATGCTCGTATGCGTATATATTTCTCAGAAAATACAGTGCAACATTTATTGTGAAGAGCCTGTTTACAAAGACCACTTCAAAAATTTACATGCAATAAACAGATATATAACACTTGTAACATGCAACCCCATCATGCTCTTGCCCCTCCATGATGCTCCCCCTGCATCCCCATGATGCTCTCCCCCTCTCACCAGCCTCTCCATCATGCTCTCCCCCCTCCCCAGCCCCTCCGTCATGCACTCCCATCTACCCAGCCCCTCCATGATGCTCTTGCCCCTCCATGATGCTCTCCCACCTACCCAGATCATCCATGATGCTCACCCTCTCCCCAGCCCCTCCATGATGCTCCCCCTCTCCCCATCATGGTCTCCCCCTCCCCAGCCCCTCCATCATACTCCACGCCCCTCCACTGGGGGAGCATGATGGAGGGGGGAGCGTCATGGAGGGGCTGGGGAGGGGGGAGAGCATGATGGAGAGAGGGAAGAGCATCATGGAGGGGCAGGGGAGGGAGAAGAGCATGATGGAGGGGCTGGGTAGAGGGGGAGCATCATGGAGGGGCTGGGGAGGGGGGTGCTCCCCCACCCCTCCATGACGCTCCCCCCTCCATCATGAGGTGCTCTCCCCCCTCCCCAGCCCCTCCATGATGCTCCCCCTCTACCCAGCCCCTCCATCATGCTCTTCTCCCTCCCCTGCCCCTCCATGATGCTCTTCCCTCTCTCCATCATGCTCTCCCCCCTCCCCAGCCCCTCCATGACGCTCCCCCCTCCATCATGCTCCCCCACCCCTCTCCTGTCCCTTCATAATTCTTTTCCTCCTCCCCTCCTTACCAGCTCGACGCATGCTGTTCCCGGTCTGTCAGGAAGTGCTCTCTCAGTGAGCACTACCTATCAGACTTTGCACCCGCTCGGCCATGCTACACACAGTGACCGACTGGAGGAGAGCACTGTGCTTTGTGCTCCCCTCCTGCCCGTCTCCAGACGACTGCATGCCCTAGGTCGGTTGCACTGTGCACCAGCTCTGAAGTGATGTGGGTGGCCGACGGTCGCAGGTCCTGCAGCAGTGCCATCTTAACAGCATTATGGGCCCCCGTGAAAAGCAGTGCACTGGGACCCTACCTACACCACAACTAACAGGAATACAAATGTAAATTATCGATAAAATTAAGCTTATATTTATTGGTACCTACAACAAATGCAATAGATACATACAATACATATACACAGACTGCTGACCACACACGCACACAGACTGCTGAGTACACACAGACAGGCTGCTAAATACATACACAGTCCACTGAATACACACACATACATACAGACAGGGCCGGACTGGCCCACCGGGATACCGGGAAATTTCCCGGTGGGCCGCGGCACCTGGGGGCCGGCCGCGTTCCTGGGCCGGCCCTTTAAATACTGCAGCCGCCCGAGCGCTCTGTTAAGAGGCTCAGGCGGCTGCAGCTTCTCCCCTCCCCTCCCCTGTAGCGTGGCCGAGCTGCACTCCGGTCCGCGGTGGCCGGCCGGAGTGATAGGAAGGTGCACACTGAGTGAGTGTGCACTTCCTGTCAGTCCGGCCGGTTACAGGAAACAGAAACTCCTGTTCCGCGCTGAGTTTCTGTTTCCTGTAACCGGCCGGACTGACAGGAAGTGCACACTCAGTGTGCACCTTCCTATCACCCCGGCCGGCCACCGCGGACCGGAGTGCAGCTCGGCCAC